TCGGGGAAAAGGGGGATTCCCCGTTCCTAAGGGTTTGCCCCCCCCCCCCCTACCCAATCACCGCCCCGCCCGCTCCTTACACCCCCGGGACAGCCTGTCGCACTGCTCCCCCCCATCCCCCCCACTTCACGTGACCCTTCTGCTTCGCCCACTCCCGTCACACTCCACTACTCTGTCCCCCCCGCGCCCCGACCACCCTACGAGTGGGCGCGCGTGTGAAAGCGTGCGCACAATACCATGCGACCTCGCCTGCCTTGCCCACCCCTCCCGCCCGCCTCACCCTGTGCACCCGGCCCCCCGCCCACGCCATGGACCTCTCCGACTTCTCCGCCCCCCTGCCCAACGGCATCACCGTGCACCACCTCGAGCTGCACAACCTGTCCGTGCGCGAGTCCCGCCCGATCATAGAGTTCGAGTACCCCGGCGACTCCGACGACGAGCTCGCCCTCACCGTCTTCGGCCGCGAGCGCGTCGGCCTGCTCGCAGACCTCGCAGCTTACTTGGAGTCCACCTCCCTCAACGTTAAGCAGGCCAATATTTATACCCTGCCCTCCGGCGCTATTATGGACCAGTTCCTGCTTTCAGACCCCCACCATATCCTCCAGGATGACGACACCCTCTCCGAGATTCACGACGCCTTGGTCAAGATGAGCGATCATAGCTCCGCTCATTCCGCCGAAAGGCCCCGCTTCAGTTCTGCCGCCCGCCCGCCAGCCCCGCAGGATCACGCCAAGGATTCCCTTTATAACTACGCCCTGCTCGCCCATCGCGTCCCCATTTCCATGCTGGCTCCGAGGGGGGCCGAGCGCGCAGGCCTGGTCAGGAGGTTCCCTTCCAACCTCGCCATCTCAGAGCTCCACGAGGTCCAACGCAGTGAGATGGAGAAGGCTAGGAAGAAGACCGAGGACATCCGTGCCACCGTCAACTTTGTCGAGCATGCCATTCAGTCGCTCGGCGATGAAGATTTTCTCTACTACTACTCCTCCGACACTCGCTACAGGCACCGATTCCATCTCTCGCCGGATAAGACCCATCTGTGCTGGGGCGAGTCGCATGCAGTCCGACTCAGTCGCTATGCAGGCGTCCTCTTCGGACCAAAGTCGGCAAAGTTCCAGGATCTAGGCCCGCGTCTTGTCGACCCAGAATGGCTCTGCTTTTCTCTTGTCAGCAACCCGCCCTCAGGACCGCTCGCCCCGGCCCCGAAAATGCTGCAAACCATTGACTTGGTTTGCGTGTCCAATGACCAACTCGAGCGCTGGATTTTGGGGCTCCAGTCCCTCTGCAAGCCCGTCAACCACCATCTCCTGCAGTGCCTCACCCTGCCGGATATTACACGTATGCGTGCCATTTACAAGATCCGTGCGCACGCGCATGCGAGGGGACTCACTGTTCGCCGCTACTTTCTTAAACGCGTGCAAGAGGCCGGTCGGAGGCGGAGTTCCATCGACGCCAATCGCCAGCACATGGATGAAGTTAAGCAGCTCGAAGCCGAGTTGGCCAGGTTGCAAAAGACTCTTATAGACTCGGCTCGACGCGAGACTCTTTTGAATACATCCCTACGTGATTTTCAACATTCATGGGAAGTCGACTTTGGACGTCTCACCTTTCTCCACCCTATTGGACAGGGCGCCTTCTCAGAAATGTGGAAGGGGATGTGGCGCTCGACACCAGTAGCCATTAAGAAGTTGACAACTAGAACCATTTCTGAGAGTGCGGCCACTCCAAAATCTCCCACACAACAACCACAACCCATCCCAACAATGACCGGCTTAGGTACTGGTCGCCCAAGACCTGATGGTGCTGCCCTAGCAGCAGCGAATCGCAATTCCCCTTTGGAACGAGTTCAGACACTTGAAAGAACAACGATGTCCGCAGAGGATCGGCGGCTTCTTCACGATTTTCGACTTGAAGTCACAATGATGAACAAGTTGCGACATCCAAATATCGTTCTCTTCCTCGGCGCTTGTACAGTATTGCCTCAAATGTGTATTTTGACCGAATTCTGTCATGGAGGCAGCTTGTTTGCAGCGCTTCGCAAGCGCTCTTGGCGAACGAGCCTCTCCCTCCAAGACATTCGAAACGTCGCCAGACATATCGCACGCGGGATGCGCTACTTGCATTCCTGTCACATCATTCACCGGGACCTGAAATCACAGAACCTGCTACTGGACCGACCCGTTGAGGAAGGTTGTCCAGTTGTGAAGGTAGCTGATTTTGGGCTCAGCCGCAGTTTTCGAGGCATCGGCACGGTGAGTGGGTCGGTCGCCGGTGTCATGACAAGTGAGACGGGTACTTACAGATGGATGGCTCCTGAAATGATTCGACATGAGCCATATAATGAAAAGGTGGACGTCTATTCGTACGGCGTTGTTCTTTGGGAACTATTCTCGTGCGAGGTGCCGTTCTCGGGTATGACACCCATCCAAGCAGCCTTTGCGGTCGCAGACAAGCATCTACGACCGACATGCGAGTCTGCATACGCGAGAACTGTAAAGATCCCAAAAGCGTGGACTGCGTTGATCTCGCAATGTTGGCACCCATCATCACGTCAACGGCCGAGGTTTAATCAAGTTCTGAGGTTTTTGGATGAAATGGAGGATTGCAGCGAAAACGAAATTCCTAAATCGCTGAAGCGATTCACAAAGCATGACAATCGAGGAGAACAGTCACCTCAAAGACAAAATGTGTTTCCTACAATTCCCAAGCCTCAGCCCATTCTGCCAAACGAGCAAAGCATTGACGAGGGCCTGCTCGAGGATATGACATCCTTTGAGCTCACGGATAGTATAGAAGTCAAAGGACGCACCAGCAAGGTGGCTCACACGGGGCTTGGTCATTCCGGCAGCGCACCAAACCTTGCTAGACTGGTGTAGCACAACAGTGAGCGCATACTAACTCAGGAATACTGCTGTGATTCAGACATGTGTTCATTCAATCATCTCTAGCACTCCATTTTTGTAAAGGCGACAGGTGCTTTATGCATATAAACATGGACCGGATAGCATTCTTGTAAATTCTGGATCAGAACTGGTTGCCAGTGTCTCCCAAGAGCGAAAATCAGATCCATCACTGTTTTCCCTCCACGATACTGAGCTCTCGCGTTGTGAAAGTAATAAATAGCTCGCCGTTAGAAGTCCACATTCCTGTCGGCACAATTGCATAATTTCAGGGCGGTTGTCGTCCGCAGAAAGGTACCCCATTGTAGGGCCCAGGGCTCGAATTGTCCGCTGCAAGACGCATGTGTCATTGCTACTCTATGACTGTGACATAGAGGGCCGCTTCATGGTTTCATGTGCCCCGTAGTTTCTCACCTCTTTCCCATATGCATTTTGAAATCTCCAACGAAGACAATATGCAGCAGCCATTGAAGTCAACTCATCTTCTATGCAAGACTACGTATTGTATTACTTCTTGGGTTGGCTGTGTGGAGATGTTACGTTGAGAGTGTACCGTCTTGATTGCACTAAGCTGCCAGAAGCACCTCAGAAGAACTGTACCCCTCAATTTATGAAGGCACGCTCTCTCTGCCAAGCCTTCCGCTTTGTAAGAAGACCGCCGGAGTTCCCAATTATTCACGACAAGATTCAAGAGACTTTAAAGAACTTTTCAGTGCTTCGGCAACACGCGGCGAAACTACATTATCTTTCTAAGGAACCAAGCCATTAAAGCAGGTTCTTTCTGGGAAAGCACTACTATTTGGCAGAAGGACACCAAAAATTCGAGAAGTAGACATGCTGGCAGCATGGGTTTTCGAGCTAATGCAGTCGCGCGTAACTCACCCGAAGCTCTGTGCGGCATGTTTTGCTCTGTGCATTGCACTTCTAAACGCACATGCAGTATTGACAGACCCGCGGCAAAGAGGAGCGCTTCGACTCGAAAATCATATGTTGCCGACTATAGATGCGACTGCACCTACAGACTTCCAGGCACACTACCCCTCAGGTTCTAAAAATGGAGAACCCGGGTCCGGAACACGTTCTGTAATGCAGGCCGCCGGCAATAACTGGACTCCTTATGAACCGCTGGATAGATTTTTCCATTGGAGAGCAGGCGTATGTGGCGACGAAAAGGGTGCAGAACCTCAAGAGCATTTGAAAGGAGGAAAGTTTTACTTTGATGCGTTCCGTGTTCGGGAATACGTGCAGGGTTCCGTAATTTTCATGGAAAGTGAAATTGTGACACATCACAACGGCTTCTTTGAATTCCACATTTGCAATATTGACGACTGCGGGGATGACATCTCAGAACGTTGTTTCCATGACGGGCACTGTCAAAAGCTGATGAGAACGCCTGGATCTTGCGATAGCGGAACCGATATGAGGTGCGGCCCAATTGATCCAATGCATCCGGAGCGCTGGTATTTACCTTGTGTCACCAGTGAGCCCGTGATGATTGGGGGCTGGAGAAAAACTATCGCGTATACACTGCCTGCTGACTTAGTATGTGACCATTGCGTGATTCAGTGGTACTGGGTGGCGCACAACTATTGCAATCTCAAAGGTGTGGAGGAATATTTCACTTCACCTCATGCTCCGAGTTGGGGTGATTGCCCAGGCCAAGGAGGAGCAAGAGGGGGATGGGTGTCAGGGAAGCCAGATTGCGGTGGAGAGATGTTTCCAGAGGAGTATTGGCAGTGCGCAGATGTGCGTATTGTCCCTAAAGCTACACCGCAGCCTGCCTCTCCAGCACATCACGCACCCCCGACAACTTCGTCCCCCGGCTCAATTTCGTTTACTCCCTCTGAAATAAGCATTCCAATGGCAGAATCGGGGGGTAGCCCCAGCACTTCTGTTGGTGGCTTTTCGCCCTCATCTGTGCAACTCGGTATTGGGAGAGGAGATACAGAAGAACATCCAAATCAAGAAGACGAAGGTGAAACGCAGGGCCATGACGGCGCAACGTCACATATCGATGGCGAGAATGAAAGACATGAGATGGAATTCATTTCGGAAGGTGATGACTCCGACATATCACATCTTCATGACGACAACGACAGTACTGAGGATATATCACCCGGGACAGTTTCGGAAAATGAAGCCGGCTGGCATGAGGACGAGCCCTCGAACACTGAAAGCGGAGTGGAAATGGGAGCAAGGAGTGTTGGGGATCACACAAGAGATGAAGGCAGATCGGGAAAAGGTACAGATGATGCGACAGCTGAATCGGACAGCTCTACTCCACAAGCACGAGAGCACGAGAGCGATTCTTCATCCGAGACGGACGACGGCGATTCGCAAAATGTGTCAGAATCATCCTTTATTGAAGAAGGTTCAGAATTTAGTGACTCAGGACCTGGTGAGAGTGAGGGAGCCGGAGGAGCACTGGGCATCCACCATTCGCAAGTTTAGACACACGAAGGCCGTTGGGTGGACGCCCTATATAGTCAGTAGGATTCTTCCTTGCTGTTTCTTCTGGCATGGGTGATTGCCCTCCATATGTGTTGCGATTACATCGCATCCATCAGCTCCGCAGATGGACAGTCGTAATCCCATTTGACATATTCGATACCAGTGGACAAACTCGGCGATCTCATCTGGATGTACTTGAAGTACTGGCAGACGACTCCCGGGATTTATTATGGTCTTTTATTGTCCCTGGGCGCAGAAGAACGCGGACGGAATGCATCGCTGGAACGACTTGAGAGCCAATTTGAAGACATGTTGTAGATACACTTCACGATTCAGGTGGCAGTCATCATATGAAGAAATAGCAAGTACCGGGGATACCTATTTGTACATAGATAACATATGCTAAATAAGTAAAAACCTTAACAATATTGCCCGCCCTACTACACATGGAAGCTTGGACAAGAGAACTTCCAGTGTGGTGGTTTCTTTCCGGAATACGAAACAACGCCGACACTGCGGCCCTTGCTCGAACACCCTTGCATAGATGAGCTTCAAATCACACACAGTTAGCTTTAATGGTCTATGGAAACCTTACAATACAGGCTCCGCTATCTCTGCACCCCAGAAAAGAATAGCCCTCGGGAGAGCAAAATTATGACTAGTAAGGCACGTCAAAATTAGACGTGGGTATGCGGAGGAAAGCCGTGCAGCGCTGTAGAAATAGCGGAATACCCGGCGCGCACTGGAAGTAGGAAAGCATGTGCGACGTTAGGAGTAATAGCAGTAGTGTACGTAGTGACGGAGAAGCCATCAACCACGATATTACCATCAGTAGTTTGAGGATTGTATAGACCCGCAGCTGCAACCCGAGCCACTTCTGTAACTTCCAAAGGTTCCCTTCCATCAGCTCCAAGCATAGTGTCTCCCTTTCTAACCTTTTCCGCTGGTATCGCCTGGCCGTTAGCGTACACATAGTGCGAAGGCGATAATGTGATAGCCTTATCACCAGCACTAATCTTCACGTAGGAACTTGATCTATAGTTTGCGTCCTGATGCGTCCATGCAAAGATTGGAGAAGTCTTGCCTTTGCCGACGTGCACCTCGTCACCGACGCGCAATTCATCCATGCGACGAGCTTCCCCACTACCCAGAGTAACGGTAGCATCGGCTGGAAAGCAGGTAGCCTCCATTGGAGCCTCGCTAGCCATAGCGTCTTCTGTCATCTGTTCGTCTTCCATCGGTCCACCGGGCATATCACCCATCGACATATACATGCAGCTTTGTCCAATGAGCATATAGGCTTGCCCATCAATAAATTTGAAAGCGTCGCCAAGATCCAGTTCCCCAGCGAGTTCCAGGAAGGGCTTTGGAAGCTGAACATCACCTAAGGATGGAGCGACAAATATGATAGATGTATATGGGTCAACTGTGGAATTCCCGCAGGTGAGACGACTCTCGATGTAGGTGGTGTGGATATTGGCTGCGTCGGCAATCGGTGCAAGGGCAGTTGTGAATAAGCCGGAATCGTTTGCTGCAAGTTTTTCAAGTCGAAATGTGGGGCCACTGCAGACTGCGCCATTGAGTGTGATGTTGGTTGCGGCGATGGATGGACCCTCGTCTTTAATGACGACCTTCATAGCGCAGGAAGCTCCGCCAGAGAGTAATTCATAAGAACGCGCAATTGAATTTTTGGCAATGACAATCGCGGGAGAGTGAAGAAGTAGGACGATGACGGCAATAAAGCAGGTGAACTTCATGACTGAGACGATGGTTTTTGAAAAGAGTTAGCTGATGAGGCGCGGAAACTTGGAGGAGGTTGGGATGGGGGCTTCGACGTATGTGCGATCCTCGACCGGGGTCTTTAAAACAAAACGAGATTAGTAAAGAAGCGGAACTTGCCTGTTCTCATAGCGGTTTTCTAAAAACGCAGTCATGGTACGAGTTTACTGACAATGAATGTTAATTTGTGGAGATAAACGGCATGTTGCGCAACCGTCACTGAACCGACAGTGACACTGAAAGGCAAATCAGTCGATACAACTTTGTAGGTTTAAGCAGTTGCGCCATGCGTGCTCTATACAATTGTGCATCATGTGGTGATGCGTCATGCGTGCTTCTGTACAACTGCGCATCATATGATGAAACTCGGTGAGGACAAACCATTTCCCAGGAAGCACGTTTGCAACCAATATAGAAGCATTCAGCACTAGGGATTCCCAAATGATCCGTCACCTCAGTACTAGCCCGGCCTGAAGCGACTCAACTTCCGAGTTCTGGAGGAGATCGGGAATTTATCAACATGGTATGGACGAATGTGAAATGGGATCCGCAGTTGCATGCAGTAATCTCTCCTCCTGGAAAGAGTAGCAGTCCGTACATGCAAGCAGGCTGGCACGCGAGGCGCCCCGAACACCCGCACCATGGCCGTGCTCAATACCCTCACGCGTCAAATCGCGCATCGCGCGTTCTGCATATGCAGCCCAGCGAAATCGCGTCTTTCGCAGCGCATGAGTCATATTATTTGGTCCAGCGTTGCATCAGCCACCCTCGCCCGTGTGCCTTACCATGGACTGGCCGTATGGTGTCTGACCCAAGTGTGGGTCCTTGACGAATGTCCCATGATGTAGCATCAGCCCCCCAACTTGTTAAAAATGTAGTAAAGGCTGGGTGCGGTGTTGCAGTCGTCTACATCACAAACGATAGTCAAATTTGAACACATATGATGCAACCCGTTTACTTTGTACTTCTCTAAAAAAAGAAGTACGTATCGTTCGTTAACGGTCAAGCCTTGGTCCCCCTTCCGCATTTGGAGCAACTGTAGAGGCAAGCTGGGTGAAAAGGGATGAGGCAGGCGATGTGACACGCGGCGGGAAGGGGAAGGGCAGCATGAATCATAAACAATCCTGGGAAGGGGAAGGGCAGCATGCATCATAAACAATCCTGCTTCGTCTCTTTGGGTGCACCGATACGCCACCAAGTTGACCATAAATGACCTCCCAGAAATAACGAAAATTCCACCCTACCTTACGAAACGGAGAGCAACAAGGCAAACCCCGCATAGCCCACAACTGCTTCGGCATACACCCCTCACATCCTCGACCCGCCTCACATGTGCCCTTCGTCTATCCCGTCCTCCACCCGCACCCCCCCGTTCAACATACCGACACCCCCGCCACCGCCTCCGCCATCATCCCCCGATGCGCTAGACCCATCCACAACAGCCCATGTCGTCAAGCCAGGGAATGATGCCCACTGTGGGTGGAGCCCCGGTCGAACTCAATGTCTACGATCTTCAGCACCCCGACAATCCGGACGCCGTGCCCACCATTAACTGGTATCTCTACGGCGTCGGCATGGGGCTTTATCACTCGGGCGTCTCCATTTACGGCACTGAGTATTGCTACGGCGGACACGCGGATGACGACACAGGCGTCTTTGAGGTCGTCCCGCGGAAGGCCCCCGATGCGAAGTTTAGGCAGACAGTCTTTGTAGGGAGGACCAGTCTTAACCCGCAGCAGGTGTCAGAGCTTGTCAAGGCCATGGCCCACGTGTGGAGTGGCAACTCGTATAACTTATTAACGAGGTAAGTTCTGACCTCTTTCCGAGGCAAGCATGCATTTGTATCTCCTTTCGCAAAAGCCTGACCCCTTCGCCGTTGTGCTTTGGCCGTGCGCAGAAATTGTAATCACTTCGCCTCAGATTTGTGCGAGCGTCTCACGGGCAGCTCCGCTCCCGAATGGGTAAACAGGCTCGCCTGGGTTGGCGAGAAGGCCAAGTTTTTGCTCCCCAAGGGCTTCACCACGCCTACCGCAGCCCCCGTCACGGCCCAAGCGGCCGCAGAATCCAGAGCAGCAGAGGACCGATATGCGAATATCCTTGCAATGGACATAGCCGAGATGAGTCGCCAAGATATGTCAGGCACCGAGAGAGACCCCGATCACTCGGATTAGCTGCTGTTTGTGCCGCGTAAAGCCCCTATTTTCGAAGGCTTTGTAATTTAAGTTCAAGTTAAGACTGGGATGTGGTCGCGCGCACTTGTCTATCGCCATAAATATGTGTCATCTCTCCCCTTCCGTGTTATCTTGAGACGGCTTCCGCTTTGCAGCAACCTTTCCATTCACAGCGTGCAAAACAAAATCGCACACGAGTCAGCAAATCGCTTTTGCGCGTATTACCGTTCCTTTGTAGAACGGGTGCGTGACTTGACACGTACCTTGTCATGAATCTGATGCAAGGCATCTCTACCAACGACGATCCTACGGAAGATTTCCTCGCGTGAAGTCAGCGATCGCGCCTCTTCAAACTCCTTGCGTGCTGAGGCTGCAAGCATCGTGGCGTAGTCCTTTCCGTTAGCATCTACCTGCCCGGCGAAGATCTTTGACGTTCGAACGATTTCTCGGTAAAGCTGTAACGCCTCCCTGCGTAGATTCGTCGACGAGGCCATGGATTCTGTTGTTTGCCTTTGTGATCTCTGCCCACTGGTGTACGAAGAATTTGGCACCGCGCGAATCAAGGATCAAGATGATGTCATGCAGCAACGAAGGTGGTGGGGAAGCAAGCGAGAATGGGGTGAGGGATGGGGCGCTGCCGCGAGCAAGGGGCATTATCCTCAACACGTATGTACCCCCTGGTACATAGGGGTAGTCGATCAGGCTTGTGGGCATCGAGGGACCCGCAATTGCCATGGTGTTGCCATAGCGAATTTCAGGAAATAGTTTATTGGTTCACGTTTTACTGTACAGAACGAGAAGTAAACCTCAAAGTCCTCCACTCCCACTGGTGCCACCACAACTCGGCTGTCATCGAACGTGGCGGCTTGCGCTTTTCGCAATAGTTCTAAGAAAGGCTGTATTTGCTCTCCGGCATCCCGTTGGCTTAACGTAGAAGGTGAGGGCGGTCGTGTCTGGCATTTTCTTCACGACCCCTAAATATCGTCGACCAATACGTTTTTGCACCTGAGAGCACCCACATAGACCGCATTTCCTTGCAGCAAAATTGCTTTTTCGAACCTTCAAACATTCGTACCAGAGCTTCACGCTCGTTATCAGAAACAGTGAGGTTTTCGCAAACATTTAACGTCCGTCTCATGCGACCCTTCCCGAGGCGGAAATGTGACTCACGAACAACAAGACTCCACGAACAAGGGCTCTCGTGATATTTGCAATTTACCAGAAGGGTTGGTCGGTAGACAAATCTGCACAAAAGCACACCAGTATTTCTTGCGTCTTGCCACCGAGCACAGACGCTTCTATCGGATTCTGCAGCCAATGTTTCAAAGAAAGTAAGAAAGGCATCACATGTAATCTATCCGCCTTGCTCCATCTTTCCTTGAGATGGACGTCATTCGGAAGGTGTACGGTAGCATCGACTCAGGCTTGGAGTCTGATTACTCCTTCTCGGGAAATTCCAAGTTATCAAGAAACTCCATCACGTCCATCAACCAGAAAACATCCAGTCAAGTGGAGAGACCAGAAGAAGTATGGAGCCATTTGCAATACGGACTTCAGATTCGCGCTTTCCAAAGGATTTTTAGAAACGTGCTTGAAGTGCGCTTTACCACTCCTGGATTCCCTCCTTTTTCGTTGAGCTTTCCAGAACCAATCGCGCCGCGAACGTTTATTCTTCTCCCTGGAGGAGCATATTTATTTGCGTTTTCAAAAACACGCGACATTTGTCTTTGGAATCTCCAAGAATCATACACTCCCGGTGAAGACAGAGAAATCAATGCAGCATTCGACATCATGAATGCGATGATGACTCTTGATGACCAGGAATATTGCCAAAACATCAAGGGAATTGGACGGTCGCATCAGGCGATTTTTCGGGATACACTGTTCTCCGTCGAAGTCACCGCGGCGCAAATCGTATCGACGAAAGAGGCCGTCATTGTAACAACAGTTTTTAAGAATGCGATCGTTAGGTAATCACATGAAACTACATTTTCCTCGTGTGCATATTTCAACCCAACTGAATTCGGAGACAATTATAATCAACCTGAGATTGAACCTCCATCCAGTTTTAATGTTGGGTTCTTATGCAAGAATGATATGAAAGGGGAGACGGAATATTCTTAATTCAGGTTCAATTGCCAGTAGCTGCTGAAGGAGAAACGAATCACAAAACTTCTCTCCCTGTGGCATTGGTTTTTCAACGTGGCTAGAAAAGAAAGTTAAAAGGTTTTGTTCAAAAGCCTTTTCGCTAATAAAGCCGCGAAGCGATTTTGTTAGCAGTAGAAGTAGTATAGTGTGTCTTCGGTCGTTCTTATCAACACGCATTATAAACACCTCAATTTTGGAACATCAGACTTCAGTGAATGCCGGTTTGTACTTGAATAGATGGCGCCTCTTTATATCGTAAAGTGTAAGTAAAACCTCTGCGCTTAGCGGCCTGTACATACGAGAATGGACCTGCCCGGGGGCTCTCTTGGCATGTTGTCGAGAGGGAGACATGACTGCGATTGTTTACATGCTGATGGACTTGGTTCTGAATGGAAGCTGAGCACGCCTCCAGCTGGGCCGCAGATATACGTTTAGTCTAGTATGGCCTCAGCCATACTCGCTCGGCCTTCCTTCTAAACTCGCAAACTTCGCACATCCAGCATATTTCGATCGAAGTGGCTTTTCATCTTTTTATTTGAACTGGCAAAACTGGACTGTGGTATTCATAACCCTTGCTTTCTCGATCTACAGATACTAGTTAGTACAGGTTATTGTGAATTCTGCTGTGAATGGAAGGTCTGTGATATGAGACGCATTTGCGAGAAGACGGCTGTCGCGATATTGGACCAAATTGCTCGATGTCGGTGAGTAGGATTTTTCTTGTTGATTGAGTCCATTGGTTGCGGGAAAAGAGGTGAACGCGATTCTTTCGTCAGTTGAATGTTGTCTACAAGGCTTTCCTGTGCAGGTCTCTAAGAGAGCTGCATAAAGAAACACCATGTTTTTCTTAGTGAGCAGGGACAAAGATGAGTTGTTTAGTACCAATGCAATGCTATCTCCCTATGAGCAAAGCAGCCCACCCTGTGACTGATGGACTCCCCCACCCCGCCACCCGCTGACCTGCTT